CTCCACGTTCTTGTTTCAAATTGTGTAACTCTTCCCACAATTGATATTGACTGGATAAATCAGAAGTGGTATACCTGGCTGCAAGCAAATCCCACACTTCCTTAGCTGTTTCATATCATCCAAACTGAAGATGAATGGAAGGAATTGAGGTGTCCCAATCCTCTAGATGGTCAACATACTTCTTATCTGTCTCATCAGTAACTTTCTCTGGAAGTGTAATGTCACTAGTAATATACCGCCATAATTTTCGACCTTTCAAGAAACTGCGCATACTTTGAGCCCACAATACATAATTTGAACCATTGAGAATGGTTGAAATTGGTTGTGAAATATTAGATTTTTCCATAATTAAATAAAAAATATGCTGCAAGAAAAGGAAAATATGACCGGGCAAAAAGTGGAACACCGGAAAAGATGGGAGCAATTTCGGATGGCTGATATATGGCTGACAGCGGCAGTCACGACAGCTAAAATCTGGGCGAAGGATCAGTGGAACCCGTAGGAGCAAAATCCGAAACTAATTTGCAAGTTGAACACAATCGGAACGAGTTGAACACGATTGAAACAAACACCACTGGTGGTTGGCACGAAATGGAGCTGCTGATGTAGAGAATTAAAAAAACACAAAATCTCAAAGAAAAAAGAGCCCACTGTGCTCTGATACCATGTGAGGAAATAAGCAGGAGAGAAAAATATGAAGAAAATACTTTTCTTGATTGATTTGAATATACAAAGTGTCTATTTTTAGGCCTGTATAAGAGAATATTTTATGGTACAAGAGAATATTGTATGGTACAAAATCAATTAATCTAATTATGTCAATCAATTATAATCTGAATATAATCATAGCAGTGTGTACATAATTAAGGGAAAATATTCTGTAACACTAACTTTACCAAAAATTGGATTACCAAAACCATTTTTTCTCCCCCAAGGTCTTTTTCTTTTTTTAACTATACCCCACTGGACCTTTTTTCTAAACTTTTCCAAAAGTAGATAGAACCATTTCTTCACGTTTAATTCTTAGTAGACAACGTGTAATTCTTCCATATTCTGATTTCTTTAGGTGTGAACCTCAAAGATCCCAGACTTTCAAATCTTTTCGCTAAACTGAGGACGTTTCAAACAAGGTAGAAAAACTTCAGCCATAAAAATAGGCAGAAAGAACACCATAACAACCGTTCTCAAAATTAGAAGGCTGTAAAGTACAAAGAGTGAAGGTGATCAACGGGAAGTCCTAATTTTTATGCTACATAGTAGGACTCACCACCTACCAATAGAAAGATAATTTTCACACTCTGTTCATTACCCCTCCTTGCCCGCTTTCAGTCTGTTTCCCCCCAGTCTTCCCGTCTGAATCCCAAGTCAACTGTTGAGAATGTTAGTAAAAATAAAAAAATAACGGAGTGTAAAGGAGCACCAACAGAATGAAGGGATATATATATATATATATAGGACAGTTCTTTCAGTTAGTGAATTACTCAAGACACCTGGTTTGTTCAGAGAGAACTTTGATACCCTCTGTTGTTATTCTGTTGTCTTTCTTTGTTCTTCAAGTAGGAATCTCTCTCTTGATGGCTTCTGCTGTCGTCGTATCCTTGTTTCTTGTTCTGGTCCTCACCTCTCTTGAAATTCTTCACTCTGCTGGCGAAGCAGGGTGGTCTAAACAGTGTCCGTCCTTCGATTGTGGTAATTTTACTGCACCTGGGTTCCTTTTCACTGGTAGTGGTAAGGGACGCCCTGGGTGTGGGTTTTTCCTAATTAAAGGGTGTAATGAAACAATTAAGAAGATCCAACTGGAGAAAGGAGGAAGATGGTATACAGTTGAAGGAATATCCCAACAAAACATCATTAACATTCGTGACAATGTGCTTTTACAGTCCCCTGATTGTCAATTCTTTGCCAATTTGCCTCTTCCTAACATTCCTTCTGTCTCTTTCAGTGTCCTTAACAGCGTGGCTGTTCTCAATTGTAGCAAAAGCACTCCAAACACTACCATCCCAGAAGACTTCACTCCCAGTCATAGAAGCTGCAACAACCGCAGTGTATACTTTAGGATTCAGGATGGATTAGCTCCGATTACCAAATGGAATGTACCTGCGAATTGTTGTCTTGCAATTGATTCCCCACTTAAAACCCTTTCACACAACAAAGACCTCTTTACACAATTGACTGCCAAGTTATCTGTAGGTTTTGAAATCCATCTTGATCTTCTTTGTCGTGGATGTGGAAAAGGAGGCGAATGCCCAAGTTCTTGTACCAAAAACGGAAAAGGTAGGAGTATCGACCTAAAGCCCACACCCATAATTGTGCATATGATGTATGTTAGTCTGTGTGAATATAATTATTCTTACACTTTTCTGTTTTTGATCCTCTCACAGAATAATAACAATTAGTTTTTTGAGCATCTTTCTTCTTCACTGACTCTGCCTTTCTTTGTAATTTTCACTGCAGGGAAATTACCATTATTGAAGATAGGACTTGGTAATATATCTCTTCAAGACTTCAACATCTCATATTCTTGGCAGCATATGTTTCTCTAAATTGGAATTTGACTACTCAATGTTCTTTGTAGTGCAGGATTGGCAGTCTCAACTGTTGTTCTAATAATCATGTCTATCCTTATCATACGGTTTCGCACCTATGAAAAGAATTGTGGCTCTTCAAACCTTTCAAGTGAGGGCAATGACAACTTCAAGAAGGAAGATTGTAATGATATTGAAGCTTTCCTAAGAGGCAATGGGCGTCTGGCTCTGAAAAGGTATAGTTTTAAAGAAGTTAAGAAAATGACAAACAAGTACAGAGATAAATTAGGTGAAGGAGGCTTTGGAGCTGTTTACAAAGGGAAGCTATCGGATGGTTGCCAGGTTGCAGTGAAGGTCTTGAACAACGCAAAGGACAATGGCGAAGCATTTATCAATGAGGTTGCAAGCATTAGTAAGACTTCCCATGTTAACATTGTCACTCTTTTTGGATTTTGCTTTGAGGGTCATAAACGAGCTCTGATCTATGAGTTTATGTCAAATGGATCACTAGAGAAGTTCATTCGTCAAGAAAATCCTTCGGACACTAATCGTCAACTGAAGTGGGAAACACTATATCAGATTGCAGTTGGGATAGCTAGAGGATTAGAGTACCTGCACAGAGGATGTAGCACGCGCATTTTGCATTTTGACATCAAGCCACATAACATTCTCTTGGATGACGATTTCTGCCCCAAAATATCCGATTTTGGCCTTGCCAAATTGTGCCCCAGAAAAGAGAGTATGGTGTCAATGACAGTTGCGAGGGGAACAATCGGATATATTGCTCCAGAAGTGTATTTTAGAAGTATTGGAAAGGTATCCCATAAATCTGATGTTTATAGTTATGGCATGATGGTTCTAGAGATGGTTGGGGCAAGGGAAAACATTAATGTTGAATTTGATCATAGCAGTGAATATTTTCCACAATGGATTTACAGGCGTCTTGAATTGGATGAAGAACTTGGAATTTGGAACATCACGGATGAGGATGATAAAGAAAGAGCAAGGAAGATGATAATAGTAGGCTTGTGGTGTATCCAGACTGACCCCTCAAACCGGCCGCCAATTAGCAAAGTGCTGGAGATGTTGCAAGGAAACCTTGATTCCTTGCAAATTCCACCCAAGCCTTTCTTTTCATCTCCTCAGAGACTACTTACCGTAGCTAATGTTGGATCCTCAAGTTCGTTGATTTCATAAGTTCTGTTCGTTGGTTGACAGTTTGTACCTATTTAATTCAAGTGAATTATAATTAAAATTTATACATCATTTAAAAGAAAAGTTCTTTCCATTTATTCAATAATTATTACTTTTTCTCAATCTATTTGGTGTGTTTGGTATAAATAATTTTTTTAAAAAAATATATGGAATTTATTTTTAATTTAAGGTTTTTATGTTTGGTATGAATGAAACACTTTTTAATTTCAATTCCATGATTTCAATTCTATACCATTATTTGGTTTAATTAAATTTTTGTAATATTCATTTATAATTCTACACCCCTTGCATTTGGTTTAATTAAAAATTATAAAATTCAATTCTAAACTCTTAAATCATGAAATTGGTTACCATTAATTCAATTCTCATAAATTTTGAAGGGATTTGAAAATAAACTTTACACTTTCTAATAATCCAATAATTTAAATTACTAAAATACTCCCAAATTAAAACTCTATCCCTATCATTCCAAATAGTAAATTATTCTTTGAAAAATTGAATATTAAACTTATTTTATATTTATTTTAAATATAAATTCTTTTTAAAATTTTATTAAATCTATAATTTTACAAATTATTCAAATATTAAAATTTACTTATAAATGAATTCTTTGGTAAATTCAACTTTATAAATGAAATGAATTTTTTTATAAAAAAGTAAAGATTTTATTAATATAGAAAAGTCAAAATTACATAAAAGTTCTCTATAAATGCAAATATAGTCTAGTATGAGTATATAAATGAAATGAATTTTATTTTTTAATTACAACCCATTAATCACCATTTAATCACCATTCAACTCGCGGTAAATGCTTTTACCTTCTAACACTAGAAAATCCCTTTACTTCTCCATTAATTACACTCAGACCCCACTTTTCATATTTGCTATTCCTATTAATCTTCCACAACTGCACTGAACCAGTAGGCAGCACAGATAAATTTTGGACTTTGAACACACTCTTATATACAAGTTTAGTTCCTATACCATATGTCAAGCAAGTGAAGGTAACTTCTTCCCTGTCATTATTTCCTTATTTATTTGCCACTTGATTCTCTTCTTCTTTTGAGATCTGCCTTTTCGTGGGTCAGGCAATTGATTGTATCCTAACCTATAATCAGATCTACGTGTGATTAGTGCAATCAATACATGTTTCTATAACATCATGTAATGGGAACAAGTTCTTGAGGAGTGGTAACAATAAATCAGTAACCCAAGAAATACGTTGCCCTGTTTTTCTAACCTGCCTGCCGTGCACATTCAGATATTTTCCCTTTTCTTTTGCCATTGACTTACAACTCATCTCTGGCAACATTAACAATTAAGCTACATGCCTACAACTATGGTATTCCTAGTTTTCTCTTTCAAAGGATACCATGACCAAGTTATATATTTTCTGAATTTTCGGTGAAAATATTGTGTTCTACTTTGGAATACGCCCTCTAGACTCTGCTAGTAGAGTTATCCACAGATACCTAACCATGCTCCTTTGGAAGTCTGTTTTCTCTAGTTAAATATAAAGAACGTCACTCCACTTATAGCCAACTGGTTTTAAATTAGATGCAAATCTTGTGTTAAACCCACATGCACATGCACAATTTTCACATAGTATTAGAGCCCAAATTCTGTCTTAAGAAACCCGTTGTTAGCCCACATGACAGAATCCGAAGTTGAAGGTACTAGGACTGCATTTAAAGGACATCTTAGCCCACTTGACAGAATCCTCTGATTGTGAATTCTTTGTCAATTTGAATCTTCCCTCCCTTACTGTCAGTATTCTCTCCAGCATAATAGTGCTCAAATGTAGCAGCACTCATAATATTACCCTCCAAAAATACTTCACACGAGGCAACTGCAACAATCACAGTGTAACCTATAGGATAGATGATGGATTAGCATCGATTACTGCAAATAAGAACAATTCATTACTGAATCTACATCCAAATTGTTCTCTTGTTGATCATCCTCTTAAAATCCTCCCTTCATCATTTACAAAAGATCTCATTACCCCATCACCATGGCCTGCCAACCTATCTTTACTCGTTGAACTCCAGACCAAGACTGATCATTGTCGTGTTTGTACAAAACAAGACTGCCCAAGTTATTGTACCAAGTATGGAGAAGGTAAGGAGTATCCACATAAATGCCGAATTCTATAATTGTGCACATGATATGTTAGTTTGAGTGTGAATATATCTGTTCTTACACTTTCCTTTTTAAAAAAAAAAACTTTTCAGAGAATATCATTTAGTTTTTGGGGGCCTTTCCTCTTCACTAACTCTGCAGTTCTTTGTAATCTTCATTGCAGGGAATAGAAAATTAGGATTGAAGTTAGGAGTTGGTAATAGATCTCTTCAACATCTCACATTTTGGGCAGCATATACATGTTTCTCTTGAGAAGAATTTCTCTAAATTAGAATTGACTACTCCATTTTTTGTATTGCAGGATGAGCGGGATCAACTGTTGTTCTAATAATCTTGTCCATCCTTATCATAAAGCTTCGCACCTCAGAACAGAATTATGACACCTCAAACCTTAGAGATCGGGGCAGGGTCGTCAACATTGATACTTTCCTAAGGTGCGATAAGCGTCTGGCTATAAAACGGTATAGTTTCAAAGATGTTGAGAAAATGACAAACAAGTACAGAGATAAATTAAGTGAAGGAGGGTTTGGTGCTGTTTACAAAGGGAAGCTATCTGATGGGTGTCTGGTTGCGGTCAAGGTTTTGAACAAAGCAAAGGACAATGGGGAATCATTTCTGAATGAGGTTGTAAGCATTAGCAGGACTTCCCATGTTAACATAGTCACTCTTTTTGGATTTTGCTTTGAGGGTCGTAAACGAGCTCTGATCTATGAGTTTATGCCAAATGGATCTCTAGAGAAGTTCATTCGTCAAGAAAATCCATCAGACTCCAATCGTCAACTGAACTGGGAAACACTGTACCAAATTGCAGTTGGCATAGCTAGAGGATTAGAGTACCTACATCAAGGATGCAACACGCGCATTTTGCATTTTGATATCAAGCCTCATAATATTCTCTTGGATGATGACTTTTGCCCTAAGACATCTGATTTTGGCCTTGCAAAATTGTGTCCAAGAAAAGAGAGTATGGTTTCAATGGCAGATGCAAGGGGAACTATCGGATATATTGCTCCAGAAGTATTTTGTAGAAATATTGGAAGGGTGTCCCATAAGTCTGATGTCTATAGTTTTGGCATGATGGTTCTAGAGATGGTTGGGGAAAGGGAAAATGTCAATGCTGAATCAAACCATGGCAGCGAATATTTTCCACAGTGGATTTACAAGCGTCTTGAATTGGACGAAGAACTTGGAATTTGGAGCGTAAGGAATGAGGATGATAAACAAAGAGCAAGGAAGATGATAGTTGTAGGCTTGTGGTGTATACAGACTACCCCCTCAAACAGGCCGCCAATGAGTAAACTGCTAGAGATGTTGCAAGGGAACCTTGATTCCTTAGAATTTCCACCCAAGCCTTTCTTTTCTTCTCCTCCGAGGTTATCTACTGAGGTTGATGTGGATTCCCCAAGTTCATTGATTCCATACCAGATACCATAGCAGAGTGATTTCATTGTACTGTAAAGTGTTGGTTGGTATTGTGTTTCTATTCAAGTGGACTGTAATTGAAGTTTGTACCCCATTAAAAAAATAGTCTTTCTAATTATTCAATAATTACTACTTTTTGTCAGTATTAGTTATTCATCAACTGGAATTGGCGTTGGCAACCTGGACTGAAACTCTTTCCAAGCATGATTTTGAGTAAGCCATATAGCTGAATGACATCCCCAACTGCTGTTTCGATGGACATATTCAGCTATTGTTAATTCCAAATCAGAAAACCTGGACATATTCGATGGACTCATGTCTA